TTACAATCCATAGTAACCCCATACACACATATACAAATTACAATCCAAGTACCTAGTGAAAGAAGAATCTTCATGGCTGTCTTTCGTTGCCTGGCTATTCACTTAAGGTACTTTCCGTTCTATCCATTGTTCTGCAAATGTTACTTCATTTTTTTAAAGCTGAATAAAATCCTGTTGTTTATATGTACATGGATACTGTTGATTTTTACTGATGTTTAGTTCTGATTTTCATAACAAGAGTTATGATGGTGTTGTTTGTGCTTTATTATATAACTGTTTCCTAAATGACCCAGATCAAACCTTGTCCTTAGACTCTAGAACAATTACACATGTGAACTCTCTAGACTCTTGAACATGGACCACTTCCCTATATAATTCTCTCATTTTCTCCATGAGAAAATTCCAGAAAGTTTCTAATTCTGACATTTAAGCTTTTAGGAATATAGATGGGATACTCAAGATATCTGTGTACATTTTAATTCACCTAGTTTTCAATAATTTTCTTTTGCATGTGTATGTGTGTGGCATGTGTGCACGTGTATGAATGTTCATGTGTGGGTGCAGATTTACTGATGCATGTGCATGTATGTGTACACATGTGTGGAAGCTGCTGTCTGGAGCTGTGCATGTGTGCATATACACACAAGTGTACACGCACACACGCACGCACAATTCACATGCATAAATTAATTAACAATTTAAATAAAGTTGTATTTATTAAATACAGCTAATAAAATGTAAACATCCTGGACACAGTAGGAACAGTTTCAGTGGTGTATAGAGCCAAGGGACAAAGCATGTCTGAGTTCAAGGTCAGTCGGAGCGAGCACTGAGCTTACTCTAATCTGGGAAGATGTGTTGGAAACCTTCAGGGGTTAGGAAGCCTGTCTGAGTTGCTTACTTGCATTGGTTTTATTTAAACACATTAGAGCCAGGAGAGACTTTAGAGATCATAGAACCTTATAGAAGAGGAAAGTGGAATCTGGGCAGAAGAAATGGCTTACACAGTCTATGTGCACACTGATCTTAAACAGCCACTGGGGACAGGTGCATTCATGTTGAAAGAAAAAAAACAAACCATTTTTTGTATCTACTTATCCCAATAAAATGGTTTTCTTTTCTCCTTTTTACAGACTTAATGTACTCACAAGTACCACCACCCAAGAAACGACGTCTAATGTATGAGAAAATCCCAGGAAGGATGGATGGGCAAACCAGGCTGAAGTTTTTATGAAAAACAGAAGGGACAGTGCCACCTGCCAGGTTCTACTTCCTTATGACAGTCCAGTAACGAAATCACTTAGGCTTGACTTTACATCAAAGAAAATGCTATTGTTCTTACATGTCCTCAGTGTTTATACCTAAATCTGCTGGTCTGACTTATCAATTAGCAGAATAAGCATAAGACCCCAAAAAGTATTCAGATTCATGTGTGCTTCACAAGCTTTTTGTCTTTTTAAAGATGTTTTTTCACTTATGCATATGCATGTGGACTGTGTGCCCTTGAGTAGAGGTGCCTCGGAGGCCAGAGGATCCCAGTTCCCATCATAGTCTTTATTTCTTAAGGGTTAATTTTTTATTATTAAATTGTGTGTCTGCATGTTGGAATGTGCATGTTGAGTGCAGGGCCTGTGGAATCCAAAAGAGGGCATTGCCCCCCGCCCCCGAGCCTCCGTTACTGGTGTTTGTGAGCCTGTGATGTGCTAGGAACCACAGTTCAGTCCTCTGCGGGAGCAGCAAGCACTCTTAACCATTGAACTCTTGAACTCCACACCCCATCAGTCTGACAGTTTGAGTCAAGAAGTGAGGAGTGCCCACAACAAGGGCAGAACTAAAACCAAAGAAGCCCTGTGCCGTTTCCCCAAACCAATGAGAAAGAATGAGAAGAAATGCTTGCAACCTAGGTTGGGGGAAGGCTTCACATTGTGTTGTTTGTTAGTTTGTTTTGAGACAGAGTCTCACTCTGTAGTCCTGGCTGTCCTGGAACTCACTCTGTAGACCAGGTTGGCCTCAAACTACAGAGATCCACCTGTCTCTGCTTCCCAGCTGGTGGGACTAAAGGTGTCACCATGACCACCACTACCCAGCAAGAGTTTCCATTCTTAATATACAAAACACCCTTTAAAACTGGAGGAAAAAGGTAGAATATCTAAACGATATTCTAAGAACAAGACAAACTACCCAGCAAGAGTTCCCATTCTTAATATACAAAACACCCTTTAAAACTGGAGGAAAAAGGTAAAATATCTAAACAGATATTCTAAGAACAAGACAAACTTGTAAATATTTAGGATAAGCAACTTCATTGTTACATAGAGGTATTGTCTACTAAATAAATCACTGTTTTTCACCTATCATATTGACAAAAGGTTGAAAATTCAGACTCCTAGGGTCTGCATGTCAGAGAAGACTACTTTTCTGTATTGTCTGTACATCCTTTTAGAGCCCACTCTAGGAAACTGCTAATAAAATGTAAGATGACTATATAGTTTGACTCAGGAATTATAGTACTAAGAATTTATCTTAAATAAATATTAACTATAACATGAAATCTAATGTAAGTATAGCTTGTGTGTAATAGGTAAATTTATAGACATTTGCTACCAGGAGGTCAAAGTAAACACTTAAGAGCATAGAAGGCCGGGTGGTGGTGGCGCACACCTTTAATCCCAGCACTTGGGAGGCAGAGGCAGGCGGATTTCTGAGTTGAGGCCAGCTTGGTCTACAGAGTGAGTTCCAGGACAGCCAGGGCTACACAGAGAAACCCTGTAAAACAAAACAAAACAAAAACAAAAACAAAACAAAAAAAAAGAGCATAGAATACCATGAAACTTTATGAAGAAATAAGTATGCTCTGAAAGCGAACACTTCCAATTTGCTCAAAATGATTTTGTACACATGGGGATATTTGAGCAGGTGTGAATTCCACACTTTCTGATGCATGAGGAACTGTTGGAGGGGAGCTAGGAAGTAGCCCAGTGGTATGGTGATTGCCCACACAGAGCTCTGAGTTTGGTTCCCAACAGTTCATAAACTGGGCCTGCCAAAGTCAAAGGTCATGATCCTTGGCTACATAGCTAGTTTGAAACCAACCCTGGAGTAAATGAAAGATTGTCTCAAAGGGGAAGGGATGGAGGAGGTTGAAAGGGAGAGGAAGAAGGCTAAGGGAACTGGAGCAAAGGCTGCTAAAATGCTCTTCAGAGAAAGGCACCAAGCTAGGCATGAGGCTTCAATAAGCTCACAAACTGTAGAGCAGCTCTGTCCCCGCCCCTCTCCTCCAAGTTTTCTTCGATAACCTGTTTTTGTTTTTTTCTTTTCTGTCTTTTTTTCACTCTTTTCCTTACACAGAAAGTGCTGTACTCAGCAGTTCCATGGGCTAGCCAGGGGGCTGCCAGTCCAGAAGCAAGTGTGGGTCTTCTTTCTAGGTGAAGCCTGCTATAATACTGTTCTCTCCTTAACCAGCTTCAGGCGCATAAAGCTGTGCTTTCACTTTGCTTAGAGTCTTTTTGTAATTTTGTAACTGATTAAACTTTTTAGTGTTAAACTCCTAACCCCATTTTTCTATAGCTTATTTTTAATGAGTAGATAATTTAAGGCTGTTTAAACTTTTCCATAGCAGTAGCAAAACACTTCCAATTCATGTTTTGTAATAAATATAACAAATACCAAAATCTAACACTGCAAAAACAGTAGTTACAGAAACTCACTTTTACCAGTGTAAATACTCTAATGGAGTATTGCCAGACCAAATGGAAACTAGCAACACTTAAAATCAATCAAACCCCATCTGAGTATAAAAAGAGATCCATGACAAGGCATGTATTAATATAATAATTCTTCATTAATGTATCTGATACATTTAAGGAAAAAGTATTTATTATAAGTATTATTGAATTTCCCCTAAGATATTTTTTACAAAGTTCTGCATCTGTTTGTTTTTTTAGTTTGCATACAAGTAGATTTCAGTATGGCATTTTCATAATTTGTTTCCAGTTTTTAAAAATTGTTTAATTCAGCAGCTGCCAAGGCAGTCTCACTAACTCATAAGGTAGTTTTTGTCCTCCATATTTGAGAGAGAAATACAGAACAAGTACTGAATTTCCTCAGATAACTTTCAGGCCCAGGGTCCTTTCTTTACACTGGCAGGTTTCCTTCTGTTAATCCAGCTCAGCAGGTGTCAGTCCCTCCTGACACTGCTGGATCTGACTTGCTTACACTTAGGACAGTTATATCTGTATAATGTTTGCTGAAGGAGAGCGTGAATCCAAAGATTAGTTAGTAATGGAAGTTTGGAATGCTTACTGAAATTCTTGTTAATTCAGACAGAGAACAACATACACAATGCTACTGGCAGGAAACAGGTGTTTGAAGAAACAAACAAAAAGATAGTGTAAAATTTCAGACAAGGTTAAACAGATAATAGAAACATCAAAAGGACACTCAAATTATGAATAACCTGGAATCCATTTACTGATATCTGAGTGGAATTCGGGAGGTCCAGTGATGGCTTTATTTTATCTCCACTTTGTATTCCCTCGATCTTCTCTGTGGTGAATGCCATGCAGGGTGAGGTCCGAGGGCACAGTGCTGGGAACTGAGGGGGTTTCTCATGTTATACTCACATCTACATTTAGCGACATTAACAGAATTCTACAGATTCCAACCCCAGTCCCACCTGCACTCACACGCACCAGCGAACAGAAATCCACGGGGCCCAAAAAACACCACCAAACACAAACTACTGTTGTCATGGAAAATGATGAATTAGGCAAAAATTTTATTTCCAAGCTCTTCAAAGATTATTACAAACACAAACTTTCCTTCTAAAAGTGTCCCCAATTAAAGCAAAGGCACATCACCCCAATAAAATATGTGTGACATGAATTCTTTTAGGTTATAATATCTTCATATTTTGTTTTTAACCAATTGCAATGTTCTAAATGTAGGCCACATTTAAACATTTTTAAAGGCATGAACATATTTCTAAAAGCTACAATCACAATTATAAGTTGTAAAGTATAGGAACTAAAGAAAGATCTAACTGGCTTCACACAGGATGGGCAACCTAACGATACATAAATCTTTCCGTTTGCTAAGGAGCAGCACCCAAGCTTACTGTCCAAGTCAGACCATTTGCTCATTGGGAAATGAAAAAAGCTCGCCTTTACAAAATCAGGATATCAATTATTCCCCCAATTTTATACTTTGTTTAATTTAGTAACTGTAAATTTTTATGAAAAAATTTTGTATTAGAGTATAAAAATGTTAGGAAAATTACAAATACTCAGTTTTTGAAAATACAACATTTCCATTCTGAAATGCAAATACCCAGTAAATAAAACACGCCTCTGTCCTAGGCAGGGCTGCACAGGATCTGTGACGGAAGAGACGCATCCAGCAAGTTTGGTAGTGAGGTTAAAAAAACAAAAAAAAAAACAACCAACCAAAAAAAAAAAAAAACATTGATTTCTGTATAATTCGGACCTAGGACCAGGCCACAGAGAAAATGATTTGGCTCTTGAAGTCTGTTTTCTTGGGACTTGGCAGCAGTCATCCATCACCGCGCACACACCGGCTTCCTCAGCAAACTTTTTCCCTGTTGAAGAGAGTTTGGTTGGTTTCACTTTAGTGGATTTACTTGTAAAGGAACCTTATCCTTTCACAGGACACCAAAAATGCACAATGTAGAAAGCATTACATGAACGCAATAGAATATGTAAGCATGTCCTTGGACAGACGGCGCTCAGGGCCGTGCTTTGGAAAGGAGGACTGCGTGTCACGGAGGGCAATTGTCTTGGCAACCCAGTGTGCCGCTTTTTGACTGTGGAACTTATGTCTGATAGCAGAACCAGCCCCTCAATTCCATGTGAACAGTTTCCTTTTAGAAATATGAGAAAAAGATGACCATTTACTGTATAAACACAAAATGTGAAATATGTTGGTCCCAGGACTAATAACCTATGTCCTTGTCATCTTTAAAAAAATATAGAAACGTACAGGGGTGAGGGGCTTGCACATGCTGAAGACAGTCTTCATGAGTTAGCCAGGTCGCCCTTGAACTCACCCAGTTTTAATTTCTTTATACAGTTTTTAGGTTGGTGGGTAGGCAAAAGTTGGAGACTGTTAGACTCATACCCTACACCAGGGCCAGGACGGAAGTGGGGAGGTCTGAGTGAGAGGGGCTGCTTCCCCTTGACACCACAGTAGCCGAGGGGAGGAGTAGAGCGTCTACGACCTGGGCATGCGCACTAGCAGCTTACCCTACCTATCCTGCATTCTCATTGAGGACGGACAGGATCTATACTTTTAAAACTGTTTTAATGAGAAGATTTCTTTGATAAATCTTCCCAGAAATTGAAGTGTTTGTAGCACTACAGTTTATAGACGAAAGAGCTGCAGACTGTTGTCATAGGCCAAACGGGGCATCTTGATAGTCACTGGGGAACTGCCCTTACTCAGAACACCAGGAGGCCACTAATTATCTTAAGATCCACTTACCAAGAAAGAACGCCTGAGGTTCTGCTGATCACGTGAAAATATACCTTGTAGAAATCTTCCTTTGACATACTAGTTTTTCATGTCAGTGGGTATGTAAACTATTTTCCTGGTGCTGGCTTTCCAGGGTGAACAGTTCTGGAAGTCTGCATCAGTGCCTGCCTGTGCACCTCACCCTTCCTTCTCAATCTGTTGGGGGTGGGGTACCATCTGGATTAAGCCATTTAAAATCTTGTAATGTGGGCTGTAGTTTTTATGTTTGTTCATCTGTTTGTTCTGGTGTCTTTATTCAGACTCTGAGTTGCTTCAGACATCCTGTGTCTCATTCATGGTCAGCTTTGTGTCTGTTCCTTGCTGTGAATTCTCGGTTCTAAAAATGCCTTTTAGGGTTCCCTGTCCGTGTTTCATTTCTTGCCTTGGCCCCTCTCTGACTTTTTTCTACTGTCACTATTTCTGAGTGCTCTAAATGCTGACTTGTTATGTGGTTGGTTTATGTGAAGTTTTTAACTCTTGAAGTTGTACTTCTTTCTATAGAACTTTCATAATTTTCATTTTTACCTAATGGATTTAAACTTCATTCTTATTTACTATAAATCATTAAAAAGGTTTTTTTTTAACGTAGAAATTTAAAACCTCAATGCAAAACAAACTCATGACTCATGCCATTCTAATTAATAAATCATCAATTATTAACTGTTAAACTCTGTTAGCCCTACACACTCACACACACTCACACACTCATACACACTCACACACACACACTCACACACATACACACACATACACACACTCACAATCACACACACTCACACACAATCACACACACACTCACACACACACAATCACACACACTCACACACACAATCACACACACACTCACACATACAATCACACACACATACAATCACACACACATACAAACACTCACACACACTCACACACACTCACACACACACACACACACACACACACTCACACACACTCACACACACACCAGTAAACCAGTAGCTACATTCTATCTTCCATTAAAACAGAGATATGTCCCCAGCAGTGGAGGCACATGTCTTTAATCCCAGCACTTGGGAAGCAGAGACAGGAGGGTCTCTGTGAGTTCGAGGCTAGCCTACAGAGTAAGTTCTAGGACAGCCGGGGTTACACAGAGAAACCCTGTCTCAAAAAAAGAAAACAAACAAAACAGGGCTATTTAGGGAGCTGCTAGGGAGAAACCATAGCCCAAGGTAGACTCAAGTCAGCCAGCTCCTCAGACGAGTCTTTCCTCCCAAGACATGCAAGTCAGTGGGTAACACCAAATAGCACGTCACAACTTTGGGATGCCGTCAGAGCAGGGAGGTCGCAACTCTGGGATGGGAATTAAGGTCAGGAAATACTTCTGATCAGCTCAGTTAAAGAGCTCCTGTGCATAAGGCACAGACAGTGCCAGAGAACAGGCTTCTCTCAGCTAGACCTCTTCCATGTGCAGGGAAGCTACAGCACGGAAGCACCCATCAGGCAAGGCAGCATTCTGACAGTCTTGCTCCCTGATGACACTATGGCCCCAAGATGACACAGCGCACCCCAACTCACCAGTCTTCAAAGTAAAGCGCAGGACCTGGGCTCACGGAAGGGGTTGCTGCCAGCCGGGACCCCGAGCAGTAGGGCGTCCTTGCATGCATTCTGTATGCAGTACTGCTGAAGTTCTGCAGCTGCCTGAGAGACCTGAGACAAAGCAAGCAGTGTGACTCCCTGCTCACAGCCAGCCTGAGGTGGGACATCCAAGGCTCTCAGCTAATTCCAGCTACTCATTCTCAAAAGACTAAGCTGTCTACGATTGAGTATAGGATACTTTCGGATTACTTTAACAAAAAGGAAATGCAACTCTAATCCATTTAGAATTCTAGTTTTAAGACTGAAGTAGTAGGGAAATGGCTCATTCTCAAGTTCCCAGTACAAATATGTAAAACATGTACTGATAATCTAAATCTGCCATGTGAACAAGGCTGGAGCTTTGTCCAGTCTGTGCAAACAAGTGATAGAATCATTCTACTATGCTTTTCAGAAAGTACTGCTGGCTGGTTAAGAATGTGGTCTCTGGGGCTCAGGGTGGGGCTCAGTGATAGAATGTTTGCCTAGCACAAGAGAGGCCCTGGAGTCAGTCCCTAAGACAAAACACAAAAGTAACAGTACTACTGACAATCATCATCATAATAATAAATAAAACAGGGCCATTATGTTTTAGTCAGGGTTTATGTTTGTCCTTCAAAGGTTTATATGTTGAAATTTAATCTCCACTCTGAAGGGTGGAAACTTGTTTATATATTTTTTTATATATGGGTATTTTATCTGCATGTACATCTGTATCCCAGAAGAGGACATTGGATTCTATGAGACTACATTACAGATGGTTGTGAGCCACCACGTGGTTGCTGGGAATTGAACTCAGGACCTCAGGAAGAATAGCCAGTTCTCTTAACCGCTGAGCCATCTCTCCAGCTCCAAGAGTATAGATGTTAGACCCTAAAATAAACTTTAAAAAAAAAGTCACTCTGTCTGTGGCATTTAACAGAAAACTGACTAATATATGTTACATGTATGTTACAGCTGCTTACATATGTTTACAGTTGCCTCCAAGTTTCTGAAAGTCCTTAGGGATCTGCTTTTGGAGCTAACTTTTAACTGGTAGTTCATAAAATACAATCAGACTAACGTTTAAGATGATTTTTTTCTATCAACTGAAACTATGCTTTCACATTAATTATAATTAGAGCTAGTGGTTTTATGTAGATTGCTGATTTTCAAAGAAATGCAGAACCAATCGTGCCCAGAGATTGTGTATTAGGGAACTGGGTGAACTCCAGTGGGGAGTAGGGGACTCAGGACCCCTGGGGAAAGGAGACCAACCAGACCCTAACATAAAGGACATGACAACACAGGTAAAGTGGGGTGTGCAGAGAAACAAGCTGAGGTCAGTCAGGACCCTCAGCAGAGGCAAGGGAGAGAGACTCTGGGTGGGAAACGAACCCCAAACCCCAAGCTGTCTCCTACCATGGAGGTTGGGTTGTCCCACCTCGGTTATCTGACTCTCAGCTCCAGAGGGGGATTCCTCAAGACAGCAAGCTTTGCATTCCCTGAAGGGATGCTAGAAAACCAGTACCTAGCGTATGTGTCTCAGTGTGCCAAGAACATCCAAGACTGAGCCCTGAAATGAAAGGAAGCTGACTAGATTTTGGAATGTGACTCCCTTGAAGTACTGCCCAAGTTCACCTGACTGTCGTGTGTGTGTGTGTGTGTGTGTGTGTGTGTGTGTGTGTGTGTGTCCACCACAGTTCCTTGTCAAGTGCAGGTAAGTGTCTCTTCCCTCTACAGTGTCCACAGGGTGAGCAGGCATTTGATTCAGTTTTCCTTCCAGGTCTGATATTCAATTATACCGAACACTTTCAACAACTCTACTTTTAGTTTCCTATTTTCTCTCCTCAGACAGCCTTGTTCTCTGCCAGGAGCTCCAGCCAGCATCGGTAACTGCTTCCTTTGGAAAGTGAGGGACCACAGCTTAAATCATCCAGGCCGAAGCTTTTAATCTTACGCTGAGCTCACAATGACCACTAGGTGTCGCTGCTCTCCGTATGTCTCCACCATCACCAGACGCCGATTTGGCTCGCAATCTGGGTTCAGCCTTTCTCAGCCAGACCTTGGCCTCTGACCCCGCCCCTACTTTCTGGTATACTTCCTGCTCATCCACCAACTGGATCGAACTCCTTTAGCTTTCTGCCCTTGGTGGTCAGATGCTATCGAGGAAAAAGGAACTCCAAGCGGTACAGGCCTCCTATCTCAGCGTCTAGGTTACGACTGCCCAGGTCGAGTGAGCTCCACAGTGGACAGTAAGCACTTCCTCATCCTTTGCTAACTCCCGGTCCACTGTCTCACACAGCTTCCTGTTTCACTGTCATCGCCAAGACCTGTAATCCATAATCAGAGGCACTGTACACACATCTTTTTTCCTGTCCCTGAAGATGTCACCCCAAACCTGTCTCTTCTACATTCACCTTGCCTCCATTTTCCTTGACAAAATAAAGTGACAAAATAAATAAATCTTTCCTATTAACCCAAAACCCTTTTTACTTTCGAAGAAAAAATGAAGTTATTTCTTCCTTGACAAAATAAAGTGACAAAATAAATAAATCTTTCCTATTAACCCAAAACCCTTTTTACTTTCGAAGAAAAAATGAAGTTATTTCTTTAAAACTAGGTAATTTTTTTAACCTGTCGGGCTTCCACTACACCTTACTGGCACGTCTCTGTACTCCGCGACTCTGTCCCTTTTCCTTGTAAACCCGGTTATCTGAAATCATTGTATTAGTTTGTTTACCGTATCCACCTGAATCCCCTATTCCCCGGAGTAGCACCAGGTCGAGGGCTAAGACACCACTGAAGAAACTGACTAGCAGGATGGTGTGTCCATGCCTAGCCATACACTGCAAATCACACTAGCTGCCAATCACATACTCAGCCAACAAAGTGAACACTGGCTGTGTTTGCGGGCCTTCATTTTCATTTTATCTCGCGGGTGTTTTGCCTTCATGTCTGTGCACCACACCACGTGCTTGCCTGGTGCCTGAGGAGGCCAGAAGGGGGCATCGGGTCCCCGAAACTGACATTACAGATGGTTGTGGACAACCATGTGTGTGTGCTGGGAATTGAACCTGGGTCCTCCAGAACAGCAGCCAGTGAGCTGAGCCATCTCTCTAGCCTCCCCGCCCCTCTTTTGACAATCGTCTCACATTTCTCTTTTGAACTGTCGCTGGCAGCACGCTACAAGTTCTGCTCTTTGTCTATTTCACGCTCATATATTTTAATGACCTCTTTCGGCCTTGTGCTGTGGGCTTCTGTCCACACAGTGAATCTCTCCTGGATAGCCTGTAAAATCCGCAGATCCAAAACAGAACTCACTTCCCCAACTCTCCCTCCCGATCCTTCAGCGTGGCGGGGGCAGCTAAGGCCGAGCATCCTTCTCCCGCATCCTTCTCGCTCACATCTGTTCATTCGGTGGCCTCCCTCCCCATCTCTAAGCAGCATCCTCCTGCAGCCGGGTTGGCAGAGTCCAGGCCGCCAGCGTGTCGCCAGTCTGCTCAGGACACGCCCACGGGGGCCCTCCGACCTGATCCCTTGGACAGGCTGCGTCGCCGGAAAAACCCGTGGGGCCTCCAGCGCTGGCCCGGGGATCGGGCCTGGAACCACCCCGCATCCACGCGTGGCTCCCGAGCACCCGAGGCCCCGGCGCGCGCCCGGCCCGGCAACCCCCACTTCCGCCGGGCCGCGGCCTCCTGCTCGTCGCTCAGTCGGCGGCGGGGCTGGCACCCGGGTCCCGCTGGGCGGACGCTCACCTTGATCCTCTCCACGCCGGCCTCCAGCTTCAGCTGCTCCACCAGGCGCTGCAGGGCGCTCACGCTGGCCCCGGAAGACATGGCGGCTAAGGCTGCGTGCAGCGGGCCCGGCTGGGCGGAACCGCAGCCGAGCGGGGTGCCGCCCCGGGGCGGGGAAGCCGCCGCGCCCGCCCCGCTGTCCCTGCGCTGGGGTCGCGAGCTTCCCGGCCCCGGTCGTCGCCGCTGCCTTGGACCAAACCTAGGTGGCGCCTGCGCTGCGAAGGGATGGGCACGGTAGGACTTCCACGGAAGAGCAAGTCGAACCTTCAAGGAAATCCTGCTAGTTGGTCTGATGCGGAATGAAATTACACCAGCCCACTCACCCACTAACTATGGCCACGGTTTCCAGTCTTCTCCCGAGTTTGTTTTTTTTAGTGTGCACATTTGTTTTACAAAACTGAGATCATTACGTAAAAACTTGAGGCTTTTGTTTTTGTGTTTGTGTTTTACACTTACTGTGTAATAACTATATCGCCATCCTTGCACACCATGGTATCTGTCAGCACTCACTAAACTGGGTAATGCATAAAAGCAATATCGATGGGCTTGGTAAACTTCAAAGCCCAGAGACTTTAAAGCATTGGTTTAATTATTTAAAAATAACTTCAAGGCTCCTCCCCAATTCAACCACAGGGGTCCCGCGTAAATTAGGGAGGGGCTGGAGAAAGCTGAGGCGGAGGGCGACCCCATAGGAAGACCAGCAGTCTCAACTGACCTGAACCCACTAGATTTCTCAGACACTGGGCCACCAACCAAGCAGCATACAAGCTGGTATGAGGCCCCAGACACTTATACAGCGGAGGACTGCCTGGTCTGACCACAGTAGGAAAAGATGTGTCTAACCTTTGAGAGACTTGAGGCCCCAGGGAATGGGGGAGATCTGGTGGGGGTGGGGGTGGGGTGGCAGGGTAGGACATCCTCTTGGAGAGGGATGGGGGCTAGGGAGAGGACTGGGATGAGGAACAGTCAGACAGCAGACTGAGAGGAGGATAACGACTGGACTGTAAAAAAAAGATTAAAGAATAATAATTTTAAAAAATTAAAAATAGCTTCAAGGCTCAAATTCTCATCTCCTGGTTTAACTCTGAGGGTTGGCCTCATCTTCAAGGTGGATAGACTCAGTAGTGTTGTGTGTGTGGGGGGAAATATGCTTTCTTTTAGCCCTGTCTAGACATATGGGGGAGTGAGTGGAACCTCAAATGGTCTCCCTGGCTTATATTGAATACCAGGCTTCCTTAAACCAACTGCTGCTTAAAAAGGATTTGTTGCTGAAGTAGCCAATTTCCCAGCTGCTGAGTTTTCTCTGGACCTAAGAACTATCCAGGTCAAAGTCACCCACAAAACACACCCACAGCCAGTCTCCATTCAGTGAGGTTTTTTTTCCCACCCTCAACCCCTTCAAATTGAGGCAGACAGATTTATCATCTCTGGAGTTCCTTCTGGGGTCATCTGAAGTCTTCTTCATGGCCTTACATCACAGGTCAGCTTCTCCTTCTGCCCAATCCCTGTTTATGGGATTTCATAACAAGTACTAATTAGAAGGGCTGGCTCCAGTGAACTTCCAGCATGAAAACCTTCATCTCAGAGTCTGTTTCCCTGAAGAACCCAAAACTAGGACAGCCAGTCAAATAACAGAGTGGAAAACGAGTTTTATAAAGAAAAACTGAGATATCGTAAAAAGCAACAGAAGAGAATATAAACCATTAAAATATAGAGGTCCTAAAGCAATTATTCTTAGCCATAGTATTGCACAACTGGACCATAATTAATCAACTACTCTATTACTTAAAACACCAGTAAGTATACAACTTGGGTTTCCTGCTCTACTTCCTAGGCAGCATGCTAAAAGTAGACAGAATGGGTCAAAGAGTACCAATATTTATCCCAAACATGGTAGCACATGCCTGAGACCCCATGACTTCAGTGGCTGAGGCAGGAGTGACTGCTTCCCCTACCCTCTGTGTGTGTGTGTGTGTGTGTGTGTGTGTGTGTGTGTGTGTGTTCTTTCTTGCTTTCTTATTTTTTTTTTCCCAGAAAGTTTCTCTGTGTAGCTCTGGCTGTGGTGGAACTCACTCTAGACAAGGCTGATCCCAAACACAGAGAGATCTGCCTGCCTTGCTGGAATTAAGACCAGCAGTGATCTTTCATTTTAAAAAAGATCAAAAAGCTGTACGCATTTTAAACTTTTCCTACTCTGTCTTATGACGTGTAGTAACAATTTTCTCACCGAAAGATGGATGTCTGTTTTTATACTGCCACTATTCTACAACCTGCATTGCTGTTCTGTATCTAAGACAGTGCTTCTCACCCTTCCTAACGCTGCCATCTTTTAATGCAGTTCCTCATGTTGTGGTGACCTCCAACCATAAAGATATCTTCATTGCTGTAACTGTAACTTTGCTATTGTTATGGATCAGTGTAAATATCTGTTTTCTGATGGTCTTGGGTGACCCTTTCGAAAGGGTCATTTGACCACTAAAGGGGTCATGACCCACAGGTTGAGAACCTCTGATCTAAAAGATGAAAAATGGTATCTTGCATCTTGATATTTAAATTTCCTATATTCTCTTCATAGTTTTTTTTTTTAATGTGTATGTTTTCCTGTGCTTCTGCTTGTGTGTAAGAGTGCTTGAAGCCAGAAAAGGGATAGGATCCCCTACAGCAAGAGTTACAGGCTGCTGTGAGCCCTGTGATGTGGGATCTGGGAATCAAACTCGGAAACTCTTCAAGAGCAGCCAGTTCTCTTACACACTAATCTGTCTCTCCAGCCCCATCCTGTATTCATTTTGTGAGTTATGTGTTCACAGTAAAGAATAATGTGGAATTCAGCTCAGGAGAAGCAAGGTGATATTTCTATCTGTGATCCTCTAAGCCACTGAAAGAGTTTCACACTAAGACATTTGTGTGAGATATCTGCATAGCACTTACCACTGAAGCAATGATATTCAAAATGAAGGCTTTGAACATGCCAGGGTAACATGATGCCATACTGTGTGTCTGTCAGGAGGCAGGAATGTGGCGTCTGGGCCCCTCTATCATGCCTGCACATACTCACTGCTTCTGACCACCTCAGTGTTGTTTCCTGCTGTTCTTCAACAGGAATGGTCTAATTTTGAGAAAAGCAGCTGATTGGGTATAACCCCCCCCCCCAGTATGACCCAGGGTCAGGAGAACCGTCCCCTAGAGGAAGGCACACTATCTATCTGTGCAGTGCTTCTCCTTCACCAGAGAGACTTCTCACCCAGAGTTGGAATCATGCACACCTGGGAAGTTAAGGCAGGAGGATTGCTGCAAGTTTGTGGCCTCCACAATGAAGGGTTCACAAAGCATCTTCATTTTCAGTTCTGAGAACATCAGCTTGTTTTTGAAATGTCAGTGTCCTAAAACATTCCTTTGGCCCTGCCTCTGCCCATGAGTTGCAGGCCTCTGCCCCTCCGTCCTGTACTTTACCATTCTACTAAAAAGTCTGCAAACAGACAAATCCCTCCATCCCCTAATCAAACAAGGAGTCTACAGCAACATGACATTACACTGACCTAAGACCATACAACTGCTGAAGACATTGTAAATCCTTTTTTTGTTTTTTTGTTTTTTGTTTTGTTTTGTTTTTTGAGATAGGGTTTCTCTGTGTAGCCCTGGCTGTCCTGGAACTAACTCTGTAGACCAGGCTGGCCTCGAAGTCAGAAATCCGCCTGCCTCTGCCTCCCAAGTGCTGGGATTAAAGGTGTGTGCCACCACTGCCCGGCATCTTAAATCCTTTTAAAACTAAGGTGCTGGTTAAAACTCACCAACTATATATGCTTTGAAAATAGCCACAGCTTTGCTCACCTGCAAGCCATCTATCGACTTCAGAGCCATGTAAATCATGCATGCTTACTTACATTAGAGCTGTGTGAATTCAGTAATTTATATCATAGAGCCTTAAATGCTGGTTATTTAAAATATCCCATCATACAGATAAGGAAACCAGATGAGTAAATAGGTTATCAATAAGTAGGTTCTAGTCCGGCTTTGTCACATACACATAACAGAAAGCTGTCACATTTTTGCCAATCAGACTATAATTCATCCAGAGCTGGCTTGCCCCAGCATCTCAGTCTCAGGGAGAACATGTTTAATTCAATGTTCTGCAGTCACTAGATCGAAGGTTCACATATGATTTCCACAGAACTTTCTTGTGTCCAATTTACTCTATTTCATCAGTCCAGCTGGTTGCTTCTGACACAGGGTCTATGTAGCTCTGGCTACCCTGGAACATGATATTTGGACTAGGCTGGTCTCGAACTTAGAGATCTGCCTGCCTTTGCCTACCGTGTGCTGGGATCGGTGGCACGTGTCACCACACTTGGCCCCAGCAGTCCCATTTGAAACATCGACTGCTTGTTAGCAAAGCAGGCTTCCATTCAAACAGTATTTCCAAGGTTAGGGTGTTAAGCATTTGCTGTCCTTCACACCCCTTTCCCCCAAAATAAACCCAAAGGAAACATATTTCTAAACATGTTTCTGCAACAGAACTGAACTAATTAGACCTCTAAGCTTTTTGTGTACTGTTTAGGGAATCCTTTGTGCCATCCCCAGTGTTTAGATTCCAGGCAGGAGTCTGATGCATGTTATGAGGCTGCAGCTTCTTATTTGTAATCCTTTTCTTAAACATTGCACCCCACCCACAGTTGTCTCTCCATCCACTCCTCCCCACTCGCCTCCCCGCCTCCCTTCTCTCCCAGATCAACTGTTCCTCCTTTGCCTTCAGAAAAGTTCAGGGATATTGACCAAACACAGGTTGACAAGTTACCATGAGACTAGGCACAAACCCTCATTATCAAGGCTGGGTGAAGCAACTCAGTAGGACAAAAAGATCCCAAGAGTAGGCAAAAGTCAGACACTGTAATTCTGTCAGAAGTTCCACAAACCAAGCTAACAACCATAACATATTTGCAAAGGACCTAGCCCAGACCCTTGCAGGCTCTGTGACTGCTACTTCAGTCTCTGTGAGACCCTAGGATCCCTGCTCAGTTGATTCTGTGGGCCCTGTTCTCCAGGTGTCCTTGTCTCCTCTGGCTGTTACAATTCTTTCCCTGACTACTTCTGCAGGGTTTCTTCCCTATCCTCCAAGGGGGAGAAACCTAATGGAGATCTTCAATTTTTTTCAGGGGGAGGTCTCTTCATCTGCTCCCATAAGCTGCCAGAAGAAACCTCTCTGGTGACAGCTGGGCTAGGCACTGATAACTATAGCAAAATATCATTAAAATCATTTTATTGGTTTTTTTTTTCTATCTAGGTCTCTGGGCTATCCAGCTTCAGTTCCTGATCATCTAGCAGTGTCAGGCATGGGCTGGAAATTAGACCAGTCGTTGGTTGGCCACGCCTATCGTTCTGTGCCCTCACTGCCCCAACACATCTTGCAGGCAAGTATAGGATTGTAGGTTGCAGGTTTCATGGCTGGGTGTCCCATTCCCACCACTGGAAGCTGCCTGGTTACAAAAGTTGGCCGTCGGCTCAGGTTCCACATCCTCCATTAGAAGTCCTCACTGGGGTCACCCTTGTAGAACGCTGGGAATTTCTACTACACTGTTTCTACACTGCACCTCCCACCCAAATGCCCTCCGATTTCAGTTCTCTCCCCATCATGATCCCCTTCTGTTACCATTCCTATCTGCAGAATCTATTTTCCTTTCCCAGGGAGATTCATTCGTCCCCCTTGAGCCCTACTTGTTGTTACTTAGCCTTTCTGGGCCTGTGGATTGTGTAGCATATCAGTTACTTAACAGCTAACATCCATGTTTAAGTACATGCCATGTTTGTCTTTTGAGATCTGGGTTACCTCACTCAAAATTCTTCCCCCCACCCCCCCAGTTCCATCCATTTGCCTACAAATTTCATGGTCTTGTTTTTTTTTTTTTGTTTGTTTGTTTTTTTAAACAACTGAGTAATACTCCACTGTGTTAATATGCCACATTTTCTCTACCCATTCTTTGGATGAGGGACATCTAAGTTGTTTCTACTTCTATTATGAACAAAGCTGCTATGAACATACTTGTGTCTCTTTGTAGCAGGATGAAACATCCTTTGGGTACATGCCCAAGAGTGGGTACTGGGTCTTGAGGTAGCTCAATTCCCAATATTCTGAAGAACCACCAGATTGATTTCCATGGTGGCTGTAAAAGTTTGCATTCCCGCCAACAGTGGAAGAGTGTTTCCCTTGCTCCACATCCTTCCAACATGAGCTGTCACTTTGTGGTTTTGATCTTTGCCTTCTGACAGATATAAGATGAAATCTGAGTCATTTTGATTTGCATTTCCCTGTGGCCTAAGAATGCTGAGTGCTTCTCAACCATTTGAGATTCCTCTGTAAAGGATTCTGTTTAGATCTGTACCTCATTTTTAATTGGATTATTTGGTTTATTGGTGTCTGGTTTCTTGATTTCTTAATATAGTTTGGATATTAGTCCTCTTTAAGATGGAGGGTTGGTGAAGATCTTTTCGCATTCTGTAGGCTGCCATTTTGTCCTGACAGTCTCCTTTGCCTTACGGAAGCTTTTCAGTTTCATAAGGTCCCATTTATTAATTGTTGACCTTGGTGTCTGTGTTACCAATGTTCTATTCAAGAAGTTGTCTCCTGTGAGAATATGCATTTCTCACTTTCTCTTCTATCAGTTCAGTGTATCTGGGTTTATGTTGAGGTCTTTTATCCACTTACACTTCAGTTCAGAGTGATAAACAAGGACCTATCTGCATTCTTCTACATGCAAACATCCAGTTAAACCAGCACTATTTGTTAAAAGTGCCTTCTCCCACCCCCATTGTCTCTTTCTGGCTTCTTTACAAAAAAACCCCGAGGTATCCATAGGTGTTGATTTATGCCTAGGTTTTCAATTCGATTCCATTGACTAACATGTTTGTTGATCAGTGTCTACTGTATGCCAATACCATGCAGTTTTTATTACTATAGCTCTGTACTAGAGCCTGAAATCAGATATGGTGAGTGATACCTCTAGAAATTGTTATTGCTTAGGATTGTTTTAGCTATCCTGGGCTTTCTGTTTTTCCATTTGAAATTGAGTATTGTCTTTCAAGGTCCATAAAGAATTGTGTTAGAATTTTGATGGGGACTGCATTGTATCTGTGGATTGCTTTTGGTAGGATGGCCAGTTTTACTATGTTGATCTTACTGATCCATGAAGGGATGCAACTTATAGAAATTAGAGAATTTATAACACACCAATGAAGAAAGGACTAATAGCAGATCTGTAAGGAAGGCATTTATATGAATAAAACCCACAGGGTAATTTTGAAGACTTCAATCACACGAACCGATGAGAAATAAGCAGCAATGACCAGCCATGATCTGGCAGGCCACCCTCCTCCCCACACTAACAGGGCTGTAAGGGCCTTGAGCCCTCTTGGGTGTCTCTAAAATGAGTGCGGTGAAGTACAATGATTATTGCAAGCAATGGTCTTTTCTTTTTCCTGAGAATTTGAAGCACAGTGAACAGAGGGAAGAGGAAAACCCACCATCTTTCTACAAGAGTCCACCTTGATTCATGCAATGACTGTGCCCAAGTTCCCACATAAGCAGCCTTCAGTGGACAATTCTAGAAATATAATACAGAAATAAAAAAAGACAGACAAAAGAATATCCAACAATACATAGTCCTCATTGGCTGAACATCTTTCTTTCTCTTCTCCTTACAAAGAGGTATGCTAGTCAGTCTTTACTGTCAACCTGATGACTTCACATTAACTGTGAACAGAGCCTCATTGAGGTTGGTCTGTGGGTATGCCTGGGGACTGTCTTGGTAATTAAGTGATGTAGGAAGCCAACTAAGTCAACTGCAGGCAGCACCATTCCCTAGGAAGGAAATCCTGAACTACATGATAGGCAAAGATACATGTATTCTCTCTTTGCTCTTGAGGGTATGATACTACGAGCTATCTTGAGTTTCAGCCTTTCACCAGAATGATGGACTGTAACCTGCAACTCTAAGCCATAGAAACCCTTTCCTCCCTCTACTGCTTTCTGTCATGGTGTTTGTCAGAGTAGCAGAAATGAACCTAGAAAAATATAGGCAGTCAGAGACGTTTGGAAAATGGTGAGATACACTAGTACTGGTATTTCTTTCTGGTCCTTATGACGTAAATTTGTTCTTAAATAATAATGAGCAACAGGTGCTAACTCTATGATTCTCCATAGCCCTAAAGAATAATGAACACACAAACATTTCCAACTAAAGTTTACAGAACTCTAAAAATTATATTATTTCAGAAGCCCAGAGCTGCAAAAAGCCCTACTGACAGCCTGGTCAAATTCTACTCTTGTAATTAGCACTTGAAATTATTCATTCACATTAAAATAACTGACCTTAAGTCTTCTGGCTAATTGGCAAGGATGGACTCATGCATGTAATATGGACCGAGCTTTGTGTGCCTGTGTGTGTGCAGATACACAAGTGTGTGGGTATATGTGAGGGCCAGAGGACAGGCTTGGCTTTCATTTTCAGGTGCTCTCCACCTTCTTTTTGAGACAGGTTCTATTTGAGCATGCCACCACTGTCTGGTGTATTTTACATGAGACGGTGTTGGGGGTATGTGTGCAAAGTCAGTCCCCATTGTTTGCAAGGAAGCACTTTACCAACCAAGCTATTCAGTCCCTGGGCTGGGCTGAGCTTTTAAAAGGATCAATTTACTTCACTTAAGAAATAAATCCTTCATACCTATTATGCTACACTAATCTTTTAAAAGTATATGCTACAAAAGTAATATCTTAATCTTTACATAGCCTAGCAGGCAGCACGTGTACCACAACCATTGTATTAGTATGAAGCAGTAGGGTAGATCTTGAACAGGAGCACTGTATGTGAGTGGGTATGGAACTTTGGTAGAGTATCAGGTTTGATTCTCAGTCATTCTGCCATTTACGTTCACTTCCATAAGTATAAAGACACACTTGCACCCTAGAGGCCGAGAGCAGCACAGCCATACCTGTCTTCTTTCTAGCTCAAGTGCACATAAAGACTCTCATGTGCACTACAGTTTAACCACACAAGTAATGCAGGTAGGGAGAGAGTGAGGGAGGGAGGGAAGGAAAAGAGAAAAAAGAGAGGGAGGGAGGAAGGGAGGCAGCAAGTTGGTGGTATAAAAGACCTTTTCACAAGGTCCCCTCTGCAGAAATGTTTGAGAAAACAGTCAGTCCTATAATGAGACTGGAATCAAGAACATCCCACAAGGACATGATGTAACCCACTCTCCTGGAGAGTTCCTGATCTTACCAAGAGTAGAATCACTAGGCGGGAACTGCAGAGGTTCTAGAATACTCTCCTAGAGAATACATTGAATATGCTCAAACCTGTAAGGACTACAGTAAGGACAATATGGTGTTGAATGATTCTCCTGGAGAAACTGTGTCCAGAAAGACACAATAATCTGATCAAGTGCTGTTGTCATTATTCTGCCGTTGTTTTGTAGAAATAGAGACCAGGAAAGGAGGGACATGTAGCGTTCTGAAGACATAAGCAGACACTCTCAAAGACATTCTCAATGTAGCATTGTGAAACATAAGCAAATGCTCTCCAAGAAGAAACACTTCAGACACAAGTTTTAAATGGTATCTAATAAATTTCATGTCAAATTTAACTAAACATATAAAAATTTTAAATGGCAACTAATAAGTCCCCATGTCAAATATTTTTTTAAACAAAATCCACAAATAGATTATAAAAATTGAACCATCATAAATGTCTTGTGTATAAAGTTTTAAGGAAAGTTGAAATTTCTACATTATTCTGTTTAATCATATACTTGTGAACGTTAGTTACTGCTGAGAGCAGCAGACACATTTCCCAAATAACTGCTATGCAAGTGACGTCACATTAGGGTTTGGCATAGCAACACCTGAGCATCTTCAGTCATCCACAAAGGTCAACCGTCCAGGCCCTTCATTCTTCATCCACCTGCGGTATCGCTTCCACCGAGGGTCATTTGCCAATTTTTTCTTTAATTCTTCCTCTTGTTCCTGCTTGTAGACCTATGAGCATACAGAGCACTAAATGACTAAATACAGAGAGAAACCCATACTGATTTTATGGAGTTTCTAGTTTACAAACAGAACTTCAGGTGAGCGTGTTGATCTGCTTCCTGGAGATTGACTCAAACACTAAAGTACGTATGCAATATAGCCCAGGCTGGCCTAGACCTTGCTGAGTAATTCAGACTAGCTTTGAATTCACAATCCTCTGTCTCAGCCCTTCCAATGTCTAGGATTATACACAGGCAAATACCACCCTTGGACCTGGCTTGAATTGGTATTTTTTCCCCTAACCAAGGAACAAACTGGCCTTATATATACATTTGCCTCCAAATTGAATTTAACTCTACTTTTCAAAGATAACTATTAAGTATTTTTTCTCTAGAGTAACCAAAGAAGACTGTATAAACCACATAGGTTAAGAACCAAGAATTTCTATTATTTCTGTAAGCTTTAGTCATCCTAAGCTAAATGAAGAACTTCTTATAGCCAGTTTTATAGCTACATTCATTTTTAAAAATTATTGCTTTCAAATATTGTAAGTAATGACCTATAAAACCTTATAATAATTCAGTCCAATACAATGATCTGAAGAGACAAGGTTTATAGTTCAAAAAGCTGTGGTTGTGTGTGTGTGTGTGTGTATGTGTATGTGTGTGTGTGTGTGTGTGTGTACGTACGTGTGTGGTGGTGATCATGTGTGTGCTTATAAATACGGGTGTGCACACATGAGGAACAAGCAGAGGGTGATGGACATGTCTTTTCTCCATCACTCCCAGCCTTTAAAACAGGGTCTCTAGCTGAACCCAGAGCTCATGAATTTGGTTGGCTGGCCGGTCAATGAGCACCCGGGATCTACCTGCCTTCATCCGTTTTTTGTGTGGTTTCTGAGAGCCCAAGCTGAAGCACTCATGGTCTGAGACAGGCACCTGACCACAGAGCCCGTCCATTCCTTCAAATAGTTTTAAGAGCTAAATAACTGTACATTACCTCCTATTTTTTAGATAATTTATATACAGGAATATATTTACTTGCTAAACATCTGGCATCTCCTACTAATTTTGTTCTCAATAAAAATCTGTCTTGAACATTACATACAAAATGAAGTTGACTACAAAAGAATGTAACTTCTAATGTATCTTAAATTTCTGAAGAATCTTTTGTGTGCTCAATGCTTACATTCTTAGATTAGCCAATCACTGTCTGCAGAACGCAGGGCAGTGAGAGTGCCGGAGCCTTCAGCACTGTACTAGAGAGCTGAGCGCCTCTGAATAACTTCTGTAGCTGATAATAGGAAAAATAACACTTAATGATAAAATGCCCCAGGTTTAAAGGCATTACAATAACTTGATTTAAGTTAAATACCCATTGTCCCACTATAAAATAGAGCTACATTTCCAATAAAAGTAGGAGCTGCATTCATCTTTGAACTCTTGGACTTGTGGAGTGACTCCATGGAACTGCAGTGTGGCAGAGACCACGTGCCGAGGGCAGCCACTGGCACTCACCTCGTAATTCTCCTTTATCCAAAGCTCCCGCTTGAGAAACATCTCTTTCTGATGGTCCTCCAGGCTGTCAAACTGAGACTGGGACATCTTCATAGACTTACGGATGATGTAAAGTCTCTCTTCCTCCCCGTACTCTTTGCCTTTGATGTTAAAGTTGTAAATCCACCGGCAATACCAGGCTATGTACGAGCACAGGTGAACAGGGGCGAGGATGACTTGAAACAAGAGGAGGTCCCGAACCTGAGGTCTCTGGTAGCCCCCCTTTATGTCTATCTTACTTCTTATAATGTTCTTTATGATGTTCTCCTCCTCGTCACGGATTTCTTCTTTGGACTTCTTGTTTTTCCCTTTTTCTTTGGCTTTTTTGAGCAGTCCCTGCTCCTTGGCGATTTCTGCGGCCTGGATGCGATACTTGGGCACTGTAGCCAGGTAGCTGATTGCTTTATTGTAGCTATTCCACCAGCTGAAATACTAGAACATAAGATAAATAACAATAAGTCACTTTATTAGCAAAATTCATCAATTAAAGCAACAGCAGAAAGCCCTATGAATGCCCCTAAGAAACACAGCGACTGACACTGAGGACCTCAGCCAGGCGTGCTGACCCCTGCTCTAACCCCAGTGACTGACACTGAGGACCTCAGCCAGGCGTGCTGACCCCTGCTCTAGCCCCAGCACTTGGCAGGGGAGGCAGAAGGATCAGGAGTTGGAGACCAACCAGGGCCAAGTAGAAAGAACCTATCTCAGAGAAACAGTAAAAACAGTGACCTCAAAGATCTTCATTGGTAACACACCTCCCTTCCCTTTGCTTACCAGAGTAAGATTAAACTGGATAGTAGCTAGTAAGCCATTTGTTCTAAAATTGGACAGGGTGTGACCTCAGGCAACTTTATTCCTTTTTCTCTTTCCTACAGCATCTATAAGTCCAGCAGGAATTCTTACCATATTTGGAAACACAGCCTCAGGTATATTTGAGTTCTACTCATTTGGCTCTCATACAGCACCCGCACGCGTCAGCTCCCACACTAGTAACCCCTGGGATCTACCAGAAATGGCAGAAAGAAGGGGAGGGCAATGCTTTCACAAATGCTAGTTGAAATACACCACCTTGGTGTTTAATAAGAATTTTTCCTTAAATAAACTGAGTATTGTTTCTCAGAGTTAACCTAGAGAAGCAGTTGTTGCCGCCAGCAGCTACAGACGACCAGGTTCACCTGAAAGAGAGGCTGGGAAGGGACAGGAGGGCGGGAAGAGATGAAGCCAGGACAAAGGTTTCTGATCGAGGCTCAATGCTTTAATGATCAGCTCTCAATTTAAAGGGGGTAACCCACCCCCACCCCCAGAGTTCCTTCTGGCTTCATCCGGCTGGGGGTGAGCGCTGGGGGTGAGCGGAAACCATCCTGCTGGAGGTGAGAGGAATCCATAGGTAATTGCGGGCCGGAGATGTCTCAAAGCAAGCTCAGGAGGCAGTCTATTCTTCTCAGCTCGTGTACCAGGCTACAGGCAGACAGAAAGGTGCCAAGGCCAAAGCAAGCCAAGGCCAAAGCAAGCACTGCCTCGCCAAGGGCAGGAAATGCCTACGGCCAGAGTCCTATTGTTTGGTCTATTGTGGTAAACAAGGTCCCTGCTCAAGGCTGGGGGAAGGGCACAGTAATTTTGGATCCTGTTGCTTTGGCTAGAAGAGATCATAATAAGTTTCATCTCTCTAGTCACACCCTAAGGCTCCAGCATAAGATCACTAAGGAGCAGGCTAGAATGATTGTAAAACAATGTCCTAACTGTCTTACTTTATCTCCGGCTCCCCATTTAGGCGTTAATCCAAGAGGCCTTAAGCCTAATCATATTTGGCAAATGGATATAACTCATTATGCAGAATTTGGAAAATTGAAATATATACATGTCTGTATTGATACTTGCTCAGGATTCCTTTTTGCTTCTCTACATTCAGGGGAAGCCTCTAGAAATGTAATTGATCATTGTTTACAAGCCTTTAATGCTATGGGATTACCTAAAGTCCTCAAAACGGACAATGGGCCAGCCTATACTGGAAACAACTTTATATCATTTTGTAAAGAATTTGGCATTGAACATAAAACTGGAATTCCTTCTAACCCAATGGGACAAGGAATTGTTGAGCGTGCACATCGCACTCTAAAAAATTGGCTTGTTAAAACTAAAGAGGGGGAATTATACCCCCCAAGGTCACCAAAAGCACACCTTGCTTTTGTTTTACTTGTCTTAAATTTTCTGCAAACTGATACTAAAGGTCGGTCTGCAGCGGATCGCCACTGGCATCCGGTTACTTCCAACTCATTTACCAGGGTCATGTGGAGAGACCCCTTAACTAACACTTGGTATGGTCCCGACCCTGTTTTAATTTGGGGTCGTGGTTCAGTCTGTATTTTTTCAGAAAAAGAGAACGGAGCCCGAGGGCTCCCTGAAAGATTGGTCCATCAAGTGGACACAGATCTCGAGCCTAATAATTGTGATTCTGATGATGATGGCTCAAAATCCTTATCTGCCAGCTGATTTAACCTGGCATGTAGTCTCCATCAATACTTAAAGTCACCCACTATACGTGGTGGCCAGATTTTGTGTCTAAATCCCTGTCAACCAGCAGCTGGATTAGGCACTGGAACATTTCCGCTTCCAACCTTATTTTCTACATTGCTTCGATAAATCATGTTGCTTTTAACCTTTTAAACCTTGTGTCTCAAGCAGATAGGTTGCCTTCACACAGGATCGCTCTCAGCAAGCTCAGCTTTCAGCGTGGCAGTTATCCATCGCTATGAAGAACTGCAGCTAGTGCACGCCCACAGGTCCTTTGGTTTGAATGTGGTTTTGGTCTTTTGGGAAAGAGTGTGCCAATCGATGGGGCCGGTTAGTCAACGACGGGTAAGAGTGTCTTGAGCTCCTATGAACCTAAGACAAGAGGCTTACATCAATATGCTATGTATGTTCCTCAACGACGGGTAATATAGGAGTAATAGAGATGCCAACCTAAGACAGACACGGTCTCCCAGCCACTCTGTACCCTAGATGGGATGAAATATTATTCCCCATCCAGCAGCTGGCACTGCTCATATCTTATAAAACTAAAAAGGGGGAACTGTGCCCTTCCCCCAGCCTTGAGCAGGGACCTTGTTTACCATAATAGACCAAACAATAGGACTCTGGCCGTAGGCATTTCCTGCCCTTGGCGAGGCAGTGCTTGCTTTGGCCTTGGCACCTTTCTGTCTGCCTGTAGCCTGGTACACGAGCTGAGAAGAATAGACTGCCTCCTGAGCTTGCTTTGAGACATCTCCGGCCCGCAATTACCTATGGATTCCTCTCACCTCCAGCAGGATGGTTTCCGCTCACCCCCAGCGCTCACCCCCAGCCGGATGAAGCCAGAAGGAACTCTGGGGGTGGGGGTGGGTTACCCCCTTTAAATTGAGAGCTGATCATTAAAGCATTGAGCCTCGATCAGAAACCTTTGTCCTGGCTTCATCTCTTCCCGCCCTCCTGTCCCTTCCCAGCCTCTCTTTCAGGTGAACCTGGTCGTCTGTAGCTGCTGGCGGCAACAGCAGTCTCTAGGGCTACGGAGAAAGCTCAAAGGTTAAGAACACATGATCTCCTTGCAGAGTACCTTGGTTTGTTTTCCAGCTCACACAACTAGAGAGATAATGTCTCGTGTGCTGAGTGGAAGCAACACCTGTCAATAAAAAGCTGATGGCCTATTAGCAAAGGGCAGGAAGTAGAAGGTGGGAGTTCCAAGAAAGAGACTGGAACTCTGGGAGATAGAATCGGAAGATTCAACACCCAGATCAGAGAAACTGAAGAGAGGGAAGCAGCTGGGTGGCCGACATTTGGTAGTATAAACGGTTTAATTGAGTTGAGCTAGTCAGGGAGCAAGCCTGGGCATTGACAGTTAGTAAGTCTCCATGTCATTATTTGGGAACTAAGGCAGACATAGGAAAAGCCCAAACGGATACACACAACCACCTGTAACTCCAGTTGCAGGACATCTAACACCCTCTTCTGGCCTCCATAGATATGTGACACGCCGGTGGTTACACACACATGCACACACACACAAGCACACACACACACACGCACACACACAGAGGCAAATAGATACATGTAAAATAAAAATAAAGCTTTTTTTAAATTAAAAGTAATTCTCAAACTTGCTGTGTTCTTCCTGATGAGCTCTCCTCCAGATGAGCACATGATAAGCATGGGTAGTTTAAGAACAACAGGAAAGACACCACGCAAACAGTTCATATATCGCTTTGAATCTGAGCAGCAGCTCCTCTTGGGGATGCAGAACTCTGTGTGGTATTTGGGAGAGCTAACGAAGGTAAACACTACTGGCATCAGCCATTGGGAAGCCACTTATTAGGTCATGGTAAAGGTGTTCTTAACTTTTCCCAAGTTTATGAGAAATCACCAAAAAGTCCTGTAAAAGTGCACAGTATGGTCTGGCTGTTATGTGGTAGCCAAATACTCTTAGGAGAGAAAAAATGCTTTTTGTTTTTGTTTTTTGTTTGTTTGTTTGTTTGTTTTTTGTTTTTTTGGTAGCCATAGCCATGCAATAAATCTGAGTTTGTTTGAATGGAAATTGTCCCTGTAATGTCAAGTGTTTGGTGGCACTGTTTGGGAAGGTCTGAAGCATCTAGGGTGTGGAGCTTTGCTAGAGGAAGTACAAGCCTGGGGGTAGGCTTTGAGAGTTGATAGCCTCGTTCCACTTTCCACATGATGAACTGTGGTGAATATCATCGGCTAGTTTCCGCCTGACGCCACCTGCTGCCATACCTTCCTCACTGTGAGGGACTCCCTCTGGAACTGTAAGCCACAGTTAATTCTTCCTTCTCTAAATTATTTTTGTCCTGGTATTTTATCACAGCAATAGAAAAACAACTGGTAGACTAGTCATCACTAGTTCCTTAGATTCTCTGTTGACAAAGACTCCCCTGCTAGGGGACTGGGAGAGGGTGTGCTCATATAATATATATGTGTATGAAGATTCCCATCATGGAATATAGCACCATGCACAATGAATATGTACAATGAAAAAAAATCCTATTATTAGGCATTAGAATAAATGAGTATTTTCAAGTGTAAAAAATGAATCTCAATTGGAAAACAATTTACAAAGTATATCTATAATACAGATTTAATGGCACTGGGCAACAAAAGTATATTTATACACAGAACTATATATATTCATGAATACACACCTGAAACATTGAAATGGCACACACACTGACCAAAATCACCACCCTAACATCCACTTTTGGGGCTAGGCGCCTGCTGTAGTAGTGATAGTAATGGCTATAGTATTCTTCTGGGTGATCCAGCATGTAGTCATAATCCTTCCGTGTTTCTTCATCCTGTAAAGTGAAGGAGACTCAATTTCATATGATATCTCATTAAGAGCCTCAGTCTGTAATCTGTTAACTCTGAATTTCATAATTACGAAAGATATGAATAAAATATCAAATCAAAAAACTTTCCAGTACTCTTAAAATGTATAGCAACCTTATGCTAGGTATAAAGACAGAATAAAAGCAGTCCCCAAACTCTTTAGTATTATCAGTACTCTTGGAAAACCTGACACTTGGACAACAGATAACCTTCAGCTAATGCTGTAATACAAAGTTCCTGTAACCTTAGGGCATCTGACACTGACTCATAAACCACAGAAAAGAAATACGGCTCATCTCCTATTTATATTCACAATCAGGTTCCAGCTTTGTCTAGAAGGTTTTCTGCTGAAAGCAATGATTACGATAGCAAAAAGCAGGTAAAGCCGTCTGTGCCTAACCATCTCTAGGAACACTGAGACATCTCTGAGACATCACAAAGGTCAAAGTCTAAGTTTGTGACCTTTCTCTGAGCTTTATTCTTGCTTTGTAAAAAGAGATGCCACCTGTCCTAATCTTTCCCATGGCTGCTCTGATGTCATATGACACTGCACAGCCCCCTTGTAGATAGATAGTGCTTACTACTATAAAACAGTGACACAGCCACCTCACTGATAAGGCAACGTATTTTTCTGATTTAGATAGGTTCTGTCCAAGAATTCTGAAATGTTTTAGGGAGGGATGTCATGTACTTCATTTTGTTTGTTTGTTTATGATGTGTGTGGGTTTGCATGTATACACACACACACACACACACACACACACACACATGTGTGTGTGTGTGTGAGTGCAGGCATGTGAGTGCCACAGCTCAGCTGTGGCCATCAGAGGACAGCACCCAGTGGCAGTCCTTGTCACCTTGTCTGCTGCTGTGTACACCAAGCTCGATGGCCTGCATGCTTGCAGGGACTCTTCTGTCTCTCTCTCCCTTCCATCTCACTTCCCTCTAGTGGGAGAAGCCTGGGTTACAGATGCACAGCACCACATCTTCACTCAGGTCCTCATGCTTACACATAGCAAGCACTTTTAACTCCCTCCCTCAGCATCTCCCCATCACAGTAAACACTTCTTAAAAATCTCTTTTCTTTCCACATGTAGTCAATATCTAACAGATAAACACTTTATTGAGCCACCGAGGAGCATATAACATTCAGTTTTATCTCAAAAGAAACCTAATTTTCAACTTGTCCCATTTTACAAAAACGGTAAAGACTGCAACCAAGTCAAAGTCTTCGTTTTCTATATGGTGTGCAATAGAAACCATTGCAAAACAATGATAATAACCTAAGAGATGCCCTTCTAATTTAAACTGTTCATCCATCAAGTAGTACCTCATACCTTGTTACTGTGGGCAGATGCCCAGGGTCTGTTTAGAGCTTCCCTCCTTTTGAGTCCTACAGTATGTATCTCAAGCTCACCGGCATAGGAATGCTAGTACTGAGTAGTCACAGGTACCTTCAAACGCTGTCTGACACCATATGGAGGGCCAGGACAAGAACTGTCTGTTACAAACAAGCAAGAGTGGGCTCAGGTTGATGCTGTCTTCAAATTCGTGCATGTACATTCTCTTGTCTCAAAGGGTTTTCTCATGGTAAGCCAGCACCAGAGTCCAGAGCTTCTAAGCTAGGAGGGGGTCCATCTCTACAAAGTCACACAGGCAGCTCTGTGTACTACAGCCTGCATCTGTCGTTCGGTGTCTCAATCACTTGATACTTTGAGATACCCTTTTAGAATCGCCCTCTTCTCCCACCATGTCTGTTTCTGGTGGCTAATTTTATAGAAATGTCCTCATTAGGCCGGAAACTTGATTTTAACTCAAACTTCGAAGCTTGACAGATGCTTTCTGAACTGTATCCAAGCAAGAATCTTTGTGTTCTAACTACATTGCATGCAACTTTGAAACTAAATACCACACTGAAATCAGATTCTGGCCACCCTCTGCCAGCAGTCTCCAGAGGCCTCTGTCCTGCTGTTGGGTTGCACTCCTAGTTGAAGCATAGAGCAAGGTCTTTGAAACCTGGTATATGGACACCAATGTGTGTGGCTATTCACTCTTCTTTCTCCCCTTCTCTTAGTGAAGTTCACACTCCATGGGACACAGATGCCACTCCTGCTCAAGCATTACATCCAGACCTTCCCCAGGGTCACCATCTTCATATGACTCCAGGTACTGGATTTCTGAGAGCGTGGTGGCCAAAGCTCCAGCAGCAACTCCACACTCACCTAGTGTCCACCTCTCCTCAGAGAACCCATGCCGAGCTTCCTAAGGCTGGACACTACACAACACTAGAAAAGGTCACAGGGACAAACTTAACTTCTCTTAGAATGCCTTCGTTCTCTAAGGGCACCATAACTGCATGTGACTGTTCTGATTTTTAGAGAGTGTAAAAATGCTGGCCACCTCCATGCTGTACCACTTACTCATTTTACTTAACTCTCACTGTAAAATCTTTTTGTTCTTTTACAAAATGAAAATGATGTTTGAGCAAAAATATTCATGCAATTTAAAAAATATTGGAAGTTGGTATAAAGTACTCTCAATAGATAGAGGTAAAAATCCTAATTTTCAGTAACCTACAAAGTTTAAGATACATAGCTACCAAGAACAAGTAGGCAAAGACAGAATAAGAAGACTTTCTTTTAGGGGACCATACTAGAGTACTAAGATACATTATTAATACAATAGCTCCCCATAAAACATCTCAGAAATGAGGTTCCTAGGTTTCTCGTATGAATGTTTCCTCACGCTCAGATTTACATTTCCTTGGCATGCAACAAGGCTCCACCCCGGGCCCAACTCATCTACCCAGTTCTTACCACAGCGGACAGACAGCAGTTTTTTTCTGGTTTTGGTGCGCTCTTCCAACGCCATGTGTTTTCTCATGTCTTGGAACATTTAACGCTCTGTAATCAAAGCCTATCCCTTTTGTTAACCTTATGAGCTACTAAAGTCATGAATGCTGTGGCCTCAAACAGCTTTCTGTGGTGATGAAGACCGAACTCAGGCCCTTGAACATGCTAGGCAGGTGCTCTACTGCTGAGCTACACGCCCTTACTCCCGGAACACTCTATTACACCGAGTACCTATTTATTATAGCACTTATCACATTGTAGTCATTAGGGGTTTTCTTATCCTTGAACGAGAATTTCTCAGGAGGGAAGTGGTAGGGTGTTCATTAATCTCTATAGACTCAGGGCCTAGCTCAGTGCCTGGCAGTCAGTGTGTCATTTCAAAGCTGAGTGAGGTGTTTTAAGTTCTCTTCCTCCTACGTTTTTCTCCAGCCACACAGGTCTGCAGCTCACCAGCAAGGCTGGATGAGTGTTATATCACAAAAACGTCAGCTTGACAGAAATGACTGCTTGACTTTACAGCTTAAGAAAATACACTAATGTGGCTAAAACATGTTGAACAGTTTAATATCTTACCTTTCAATAAGGTAGTACTTTTCTTTCAGCAATATTGTGGATCTTAAGGTCCCAGGGTCAGGAGTTCCAACTTCTTTCCAAAATCAAAACTTATACTTGTTTCTTCCTGTCCTGAGCCTTGACAAGCAGGGCAATACACTCCTTGTTTCTAATGTCTACAGAGGTAAGTGGTGCTTCTGCTGGTGTCCATCCATCCCCAATCCTCTTGGGCATATGCAGGAGGACTGGAATACAACCACCGATATCTAGATCAAAGGTGAGCAAAGGAAACCCACAAGCAAAGCAGCACCGAGCCTTCCTTCTCTCACGAAAATGACCGCCCCCACCCCAGAGCAAACCATTATGTCCTGGGCTTAAAATAAGGTATGCACTGCTTTCTTTCAATAAACATGAATCACAATGTAAGATACTGCAGACAGTTGTACATCAAAATGTTCTATTATACAGAATGGGGAAAGCACTTCCTGATGGTAAAGGAATTAAGAATATATGTAAATGTAATTATATTTTGTTCATTCTTTAAAATACATATTAATCTTATACACACACACACACACACACACACACTATGATGCTTCAAAAATCAAACTTGTTCCCTTACATTTTTTTTTCCAGGTCATTACATCCTGCTAAGGTTTAAAAAAATTAACTGCTATCAGTTTTATTTTCTTTCTTGTTCCCTGTCCCCTAATCAGTCACAAGTGAACTACCTGTCTTCTCATTGTAATGTCTCTACAGAGCCCATGGTTCAACCATCTATGCATTGGTGACACATCTACTTTCCCTGGCTTCTCCTACTCTCAACCATCTTGAACATATTCTAAATGTAACATAAACAACTACAATTTGACAAGCTCAAACACAAGTCTGTTCTTTCTGTCTCAGCTAATAGTATAGGTGTACACTCCACCTAAGCGTTTAATCTTCCTATTCAGCAAATCAGAACACAAGGGATCAGCCCTGGGTTAAACACAGGGGAGATGAAAACACCAGCAAGATACAGCCTTAGCCTCAAGAATCACCCTTTTTAGAAGAATCTAGCAAACAAAAAGCACATTTTCATGCACTACCAAGCAACGAGCTGAGTAACTCTGCTCAGGTCCACAGGCAATGAGGTTCACAGAAGAGATGAAGTGAGGTAAGAACTGGGTCTTTCAGAGTGGATAAGAAGTGTTGGAACCTGGTGCAAGATCAGAACCAAGAGCTAAGGAACCAAGGCTCTGAACAGCACAGACCCAGCCTAAGCAATGGGGATATTTAGGAAGCAGTAGCAAAGAACCAGAAAGTAAGACTAGAGTTAGTTATTGTCTCTGATGTTCAAAAGTGAAACGCTTCAAAGTATGGGAACAACTGCATGAAGTATAATTGTTTATTTTCAAGACATTTCTGTTGTATTATTCTGGGAAAAATGGAAAAAAAGAAAAGGAAAAAAGATCAATAAGGAATAGCTTTTAGTGATTAAATAGAATACAGAGAACTTGTAATTAAAAGGCAACACATCAATCAAAGGAGCCCAGTGTAGTACCACACTTTGATCCCAG